ATTTGGGGGAGTGACTCACTTTTCCCGGGTCTCTCCCATGTATACAGGAGGTACACATGTTATTAAACCTGTTTGTTTCTCTCCTGTCAATTGCATTACTGTGGGTCTCTGCCAAGAACTTAGAAGGGTAAAGGGAAAATTATTTGTCCTTTCTTACATCTTCCAGCTTTTTAATGCATGTATAAATAACACAAGCAGCTAGAGATAGTGCTCAGTAACCGATGAAAAAACTTTTACATGGTAATTCAGTAGAATTCACCTGATCTTATGATTTGATGGAAACTACCCTTTCTAGGTGGGGCACAGTGCTTTAACCTGGGCCATCAAGTCTCCCTGTTTCTGTGAGGTAAGTGATCCCCTTTTGACAATTAAAGAAAAGCAAGCCATTAGGAATTGATTTACAACAAAAACAGAACAAAGCAACTCATATAACAAAACAAAACCCTAATTTTGAGGTACCGTTTCATAAGAACTGTAAAAGTAGGCCTTCCTATATAACATAATTTTAAAGTTTAAATAACTAGTCTATCTAAAGACGCGTCAAAACCAGCATGAGCCTTACCTAGAGCTAGCCTTCTCTCCTTCTTGACTTACGGCTGATCCTTACCTTGGCTTTAGGTTCTGTCCCTTCTAACTTGCTCAGGAATTTCGCTGTCAGTGATTTATCTTGTAAGGTCAGCCTTTCCTTCTGAAAGAGTCCTTACTATGGTTTTAAACAATGCTCAAATATCTCCCATTTTAAAAACCCAAACAAAATCATTAGCACCACCTTCTTCCTTCCAAATAGAACCTTGGTCTCTCCCCAACAAGCTAAACCTCCGGAAGAATCTTACTACCTCTGTTTCTTTGGCATCTAGCTCCTGCCAACTGAGTGTTCACTGTGAGGTCATCAGTGCCCTCCATGATGTCACCAGCAATGGCCACTGCTCACACCTCATCCTTGACTGGAATGGTGGCACTCTGTTCCTCTCTCATGACACATACTCTAACCTGGGCTTTGATGACACAGCTTACCTACTGGTTTCTCTCCTGACTCTCTGTATTGTCCTCCTCTCTTTGGCCACTAAAATATTTCTCTAGGCTGCTCTAGCTTTTACCCTCTCTGGTGGGGACAGCTGAAATAAAGCTTGTCTTCCCAGGTCCATCCTTCTTCTCCTCCCCTGTATAAAGGACCCACAAACGGTAACCCTGTCCAAGGCATTTCAGATCAGGTGGCTGTTCTCCCACTGGTTTTATGATGGAGACCAAGCTCCCCCTCTGTGTCCTGTCTGCCTCGCCAACGTTCTTCCTATGGATTCTCACTGTTCCAGTCACATCTGTATTCTTTCAACTCCTTTTCTGAACATTCAACTTAACCAAAACCATTACTGGGTTCCCCAGCTTCTCACCTTTAAAATGGGAAAAGTAGGCACCTATGACCTAGGGCTGTTGTAATGGCTAAATGAATAAGTAAGACTAATGCACTAGAGTGCTGTGGGCATATAGCAAGTTCTGTTTAAGTGTTAACACTCTTTCACCTGTGTCTGCCCACAGTCTATTTTCTACACAGCCCCCAGAATAATCCGTTTTAAAAATCCAGATTACCTCATGGCTCTGTTCAGCACCAACTAATGGTTTCTCCTCTGAAAGTCAGAAGTGCTCACTATAGCAAGGACCTGGCTCCTATACTGTCCCCCTTACTAGATCCAGGCTACACCTCCTTGCTGTTCCTCACACAAGCCAAGCATGTTTTTTAAATTTGTGGTTCCTTCTGCCTAGAAAGCTTTCTGCCCAGCTATGTGGCTTATTCTCATTTCCTTCAGGTCCTATTCAGATGTCATCAGAGTGGTCACCCTTAACTACCCTCAACTGAACTTTCAGTCTTGGCACTACTGACATTTTGGGCTGGATCATTCTTTGTTGTGGGGGGCTGTCCTGTACACTGTGGGATGCAGAGCAGTGTCCCTGGTCTCTACCCACTGTCCACAGCACCCCACTGTCCTGTTGTGATAACCAACAGTGTCTCTAGGCACTGACAAGTGTCCCTTGAGGGGCAAAACTGGGCATGTTCCAGTAAATAAATAAAACCAGAACTAGCCTTCTTCTCTAGTCCCTTTTCTAGACATCAGGTCTTTTCTGGATCAAAACAGACGTACTACACTCTTGAATGGCAGCAGAGTACTCCTCAGCATGGACATACTCAAATGCATTTCACTAGTGCTTTACTAGTGATCATTTAGGTTCTTTCCCACTTATCACTAATAAAACAATGCTGCAACAAGCATTCTAGTACATAAGGTGAGCATTCCTACAAAGGGAATTGCTGGGGCAGAGAGATCCGTATTTGTAATTCTGACACGTCCAGATTCTTGCGTTGGCCTGCAAGCAAGTCTGCTATTAGCAATCTCCTAGAGAAACTCCAGGTCTCATTCACCCGGGTACCTCAAAGCCTTACAGGGCCTGGGGCCCACACTGTAAGCCACCAAAAGCAAGAAGGAAGGGATGCCTTGCCCGGCCCATGTAGGCACACTCCTCTTTCAGAGCCTTCCCATCACATTTAAGAGCCTGTGAGTAAAAAGCATACCTGTGCTCCATCACTTTGTTTCTGGGAACTTCTTTCCAGAACTGAGTCAGTTCTGCTGGACCCGTGCCAGATGACTGTTCCATTTCTGCAGCCATTATCAGAAAACGGTCTTGGGCTGAGACCGTTAAACCTGCATTCCAAAAGGGTAACTTCTTACATAAACAGGAACCTTACAAAGGGTTGGATTTGTGGCTTGGGCATTATTCTAGAAAACAACATTGAGGAAAAAGAATAAAATGGAACTACCTTAAGAATAGAGAAAGTTCTCCTAAAAATGAGGACTTTTTTGTTTGAAATTCAGTTTCAACTGGCATCAGTTTAAACAATTTTACGTGTTAAAAAAAAGACAATTTTAATGAGACCCGTTCACCCATCTCATCTTATGGGTGAGAAAACAGATGCCCAGAGTGTGGTGAGGTGACTTGTTGACAGTCTGCTAATTTCGAGATTCCAGTCCAGCTCTGCTGACTCATCACTCAGCCCCAGGTCCCGCCCAGCACCCCACTGTGGCCACCAGGTGACAACTCACCACCGTGGGGAGACACGACTATGTCAATTGATGCACCAGGGTCACAGCTGCTGTTGCTTGGCTTGACTCTGTATTTTTCTGGAGCAGTTGTTCTCACCTGTTTATAAAAACAGTAGTCACATAATAACCTTTGCTTTTTTTGAGGGGGGGAAGTGGCTTAAAACTGACTTAAAAAAATCAATTAATAAAGTCTATAAAACAACCTTAGTAGTTATGCACAGACTGTATCTTTTCCCATCAGAAGGAAATAAGCATCTTAATCTATCTTAAAAAAAAAAAACAACTTATCAGTCCAACTGTCCTTAGCCTTCCTCTTAAATAAAAGAAATTAATTCAACTGTTAAATATTTATCCTGTTAATTGCCTGAATTTAATAATTCATATTCAAAAACAATGCACATTAGAACATATGTTACAAGAGCATTCAAAAATTTAAAAACAGTAGATAATCAAAGAACATCCAGAAAGTAGAGGACTTAAGGAAGTAAAACCTACAATATGGGGCAGTGGTGGACTCAGTCTTGTTACACTTAATGCTCACTGCCAGGTTAGTATCCAGTATAAACGACACTCCAGAATACAGCACACGTGGGGAAAAATGCACTTTTGATCTTATAGTTTTGTTTTTCATTGGTATGAATTAAATTATTCATATAATGAAGAGTGACTGTCTTTTTTTTTCACACAACAAACATTAAACCCTGGGATTAATTTCGGACAGTACCCTATTACTACACATTAAAGACTGAGATACAGACCTCAGGGAAATTTTTAGATAAGCTGTGACACATGGTTAGAACTAGAAGGCAGTATAACAAGACTAAAAATATCATAAATAAAAACACTGTGCAAGTTCAAAATGATCTATCTTTCAATTTTCACACATAATTTATATCTTTCAGATATTTACCTTAAATGCCACTATGTTTTTAGTTACATTTGTCAATACTATTAAAGCTTTCTTCTCTCCAGATTCTGCACTTCCAAAATACAGTTCTTCTGCTGGGCTGAGTGATGACAAAGCATAAGGCATTGGTATTGCTCAGAATAAACTACAATCTATTCATTATCTTGAAGAAAAATATTTGGTTAATATTTTATGCTCATTTGTATAAAGAGATTTCATCAAAAAAAAGAAAAGATTACAAAACAATTACCTAATATATTTTGTATTTTGATCTTGGTGATTTGATGTATGCTTTTTAAAAAGTCCTCTGTTTTCCCCAAGATCAAAAGAAAAATAATAGGAAACAGAGGAGAGAATTAGGAAGATTCTGAATTAGTCCTATAATCAACACCATCTTAAGGTTTATTTATTAAAACTCTTTGGTAGATGATAGAGAAAAGTCAAAAAAGAAATTGCTGCTTCAACTTTATATAGAATTACAAACATTAGAATGGGGCACGATTTTATGTACCAACAGAGAAGGGTATATAACTTAAAAAGATCACTGGCAATGTATTTAAGTAACAAAAGAATTCTTGACTATAAAGGGTTTTTTCCTACGTAATATGAGAAGAGAAAAACCACAAAATTTGGGGTAGAAACTACAGGAAAAATTTGTCAAAAAAGGAAATCAGTGAGCCTCAAAATGCAAATTTTACTATTATTGACCACTGTAATGCCTACAACCTAAAAGAAAAACTAAAAGACCGAAGCAAAGTTCATGGCGTTTAATTACATGAGCCAAATTGTATCAGGTGCCTCCAAACAATGCGAAGAAAAGGCTGTTTTTTAGATAAAAAAGTGAATTCTTCAGAAAGCCCTCGACTTTGAGCTCTGGCTCTTCCAGCCACACCTCGGTATGTATTAAGCCAGAACCCATCGTTTTGACTGGCCGCCAGTGAAAGAACAGCATGTCACTTCCAAAACAGTAGAGGGAAAAATGGGAAACTCTGAAAGGGGAAAATGACAAAGAAAAACCATGGAAAGCAGAACATGGTTTCCCATGTTCCCCTCGCACCGCCCTCCCTCTCACACACACGCATGCAGATGGTGAAGATAAATCCAAATGTAACAGTAATCAAAATATACGTAAACAAACCAATCTTGTCAATTAGAGAATTTCAGATTTGCTCTTTAAAATGTCTGGCTGTATTATTTCTAAGAGTCATACCTAAAACAGTTACAAAGAAAGGTTTCAAGTAAAGGGATACAATTATATATTAGGCCATCACTAAGTAAAGTTAGTAAAGCAGTATTAACCTAAGGCTGTCTAGATTTACCAACCAAAAGCATCATTAGTGAGAACGGTCTTTACATAATGATAAAGGAAAACTACTGAATTTTTTGGATTGAATAACCTAGAAATTTAAAAATAGAGATATGCTGAAATTTGGCTTTGGTAAAAACTCTATTTTTCTGGTTTAGCTTTAGCTTTTGGAAGGTCAAATCATTAAATGCCTGCTTCCATGTCATTTCTGGCCACCTCAGACTGGTGCAAGTCAAACACTATCAGTAAAATGAGAAAAATATATGTCATTAAGATTTACTGTTCATATGTGAATATTCACTATTATTACCTGATGTGCGATGATGGCCCTTTCACACTCAGCAGAATAACAAAAAGGTAGCTACAAACAGCCACTGTGTCTGGAAACCAAGGTGAGTCTTCAGATAACCATTAATTTTATATTTCCACAGTTGCAAAAACAGTCTAGAAGTTTTCTTAATTTTGCAGTTCCCTGAAGATGACCACGGTATGTTATAAAAGCATAGCCAATAAAATCGTCAAGTATTACCTGATGTGTAATAAGGGCCCTTTAAACACACTCAGTGGTTTCTTGAAAGCTTTCATTTTGGAATCAACTTTTTCATTCTCTTCTGCTTTGGAAGTAGGTTCGGTTGTGTTAATCTAAAGGCAAAATATATATATATATATGAAGAAAAAAGAAAATTGTGTTTCACACAGGAAGTTCATTAGGTCAAAAAGTAAACATGATAGTGATTCAATACAAATTGTAATCTTTAACATAGGTTTATTGTATCTAAATTACATATTTAACATACATGAACATGATCATTAACATATATTTGAGTGCCTACTACGTATATAGGCCCCTATAGAAAACAAAAAATGGTCCTTCCCTTAAGAGTTTTTAAATCTGTTCTACACTGTGTTATACTTATTCCTCTATCAAGCCGGTGATGACTCATAAAAAGATAACTAACTGCTCTTTAAAAATAAAAGAGGAAGTAGATCGAGGTAACATTTTAAATGAATGACTTTTACTTTATTTTAGATAAATAAAAAATATTTTAGATAAAACAGTTCTTTCCAGGTGCTTTTATACAAAAGCACGGAATCAGCCTTTTACACAGTGTGACGGCACTACCAGCCAGCCAGTGCCAGCCTTCCTCCTCCTTTTCACATACAAAGATGTGGGAGGGCAGCAAGGTAAGTGAATTACCCCAAATCACAGTCAGCTAGCGGTAGAACTGGGGCTGGGCCACAGCTTTTGTCTCAAGTTCATTTTACTGTTAAAATTACCTTTTTAAGAAGAGCTGTTTGTTCTTCATTAGAAATCGTTTCCAAGGTTTCTTTGCCATCACTTTCTATATCTTCTTTACTAGAAGCTTCATCCTCACTGGCAATGGGCCCGTTCTCACACAACGGCGTCTGGAAGTCATCATCTACTAGCGGTGGATAGCTATACTTGAAAGGATCCTGGAGAAAAGCATTTTGTATCAGCTTGCTAACAGGTGGGTGGAGGAATAATTCTCTGAGTAAAGTTAAAATCCATTCCTCTGGCCAAGAAAACCTGAGTTAATTCGATAGTGAAATTTAAAACAGCAAGCATTTCAAAACAGAAAGGGAGAAAGCAGTAAGTGGTGTGGGACAACTGGCCAGCCATCTGTGAAAGAACCAAGTTGGATCTTGAGCTCATTCTTTACAACAAGAAGAATTACAGATGGATAAAAGATTTAAGTGTTTGTATGTGTGTGTATTTTTTTTAAACCATGTAAGCTCCAGGAAACAACACATAGGAGGGTTAAAAAAAAAACCCCAAACTCCAAAAACAAAACCTAAGTAAGGAAAGGCCTTTTAAGTATAACACAAAACCTAGAAGGCATAAAAATACTGATAAAAATTAAGCATGCTAAAATGAAACATTTCTGAGTGGCAAAACAAACAAAACCCAACCAATAACAACAAAAAACAACCCATCTTAAAAAACAAAGTTGTTTTTTAAAGGCCACAACTGGGAAAATATATACCACATATAACAGAAACAAAAGACAAGTTTTGTTTTATTAATATATACAAATCAACAAGAGGAGAGTAATAATCCAGCAGAACAAGGAATAAAGGAATAAGAGAGTTCACAGAAAAGACAAATGCAAATTAAAACCACAATTAAATATTGTGAGACTGGCAAAGATTCCAAAAATGAGAATATGTAGTGTTGGCAAGGATGTGATTCAAGTATTCCCACACGTTATTGGTAAATAGGCACCATCTCTTCAGAGGGAAATCGGTTAAGAGCTATCGAAATTCAAACTAAATATACCACCCATTGACCTAATGATTTAAATTCTAGGAGCTTATCTTTTACAGATCCTGCTGCACCTGTGTACCAAGAGTTATTTACAAGGATATTCACTGTAGCATTGTTAATAACGGCAAAAGATTGGAAAACAACTAACGGTCCTTCAAAAGAAAAACTGATTAAATAATACATTGTTAGATCTACACAATGGAATATTCTGCAGTGGTTTAAAAAATCAGGTAGATCTCTATGAATCAATATGGTATGACCTAAAAATAAATGATATGAAAAGAACACAATAGAACAATATACTATATGGTATGTGACTATTACATTAAAAAAATACAATGGATAGACTATCTCCAGAAGAGAAAACTTGGAAACAGTGACTGCCTGTAGGGAGTGGCAGTGGGGCAGTAACCTGGGGAAGGAGACGTACTTTTCATTGTACTTCTCAGTCTTTGGTATTGTTTGCTTTTTAAAAAAAATCATGTGTATGTATTACTTTTGGGGGGGAAAAAAGTGTGTCGAAGAATAGTAGTCCTACTACCATGTTAACTACAATCCTGAAGAAATATACCACTAACAACAGAGAAGAGAAATAAAATAACTTTTTCTACCCCTAAAAATAAAAATAATTTCTATTAAATGCTATTAATTTTAAGAGACAATTTTGGGGCAAATTATTAAAAATGACAAAGCAGTCAAATCATTATTTTAACTAAGGGTAGTAGTTGAAATGAACCATACTCTGTTTTTCTAGGTTAAAATGTGAAACATAAAGCCTCAGAATAGGAAAGCAGCAAACTTCCAATTAAAAATATTGGTTCAGGTTTTCTCTAATGAGAGAAAAGAAAAGGACACACCATAATTTCTCATCTTGTTAGTCCCTTGGTTCTAATTGAACACAATTTTGCTTGGTAGGCAGTATACAAAGTAGATCATAAAAGTCAAATAATTGAAATACTATCAATAAGATTAACCCGAAGCATACCAAATTCCAAAAGTTTTACAGCCCATAAAAGTCACTATGACAGTATGTTTCATGAATAAGGAGTATTAAAAATTCAACACATATCTACTTACTCCTGGTCTCTTATTCGTAAGTAGTTAAGATTATTTCCCCAAAAAATCTTGATAGTATGTATTATCTTTTAAATTAAAGACTGTTCAACAGTAAACAACTGGAAGCAAACTAAAGACACATCAAAAGGAAAATAAATAACTTATGGTTATTCATTAAACAATTTGTGATTCATCTCTAGACACTGGAATACTATGCAGCCACAAAACAAGAGTAACTCAGCTTATCACATAAGATTTAAAATGATCTCAAAGACATGTGAATTAAAAAGCAGGATACACAACAGTGTATAAATACCCTACTTGTTTAAAAGAAATGGGAGGGAGAAAGAACTATATATACAGTTGTTTACATGTATTACATATTAACTATCGTTGCTTACATAGGCAGTACAGATCCATGGAAATAAAAATAAGAAATGAAACCTGGGAGGGAAAGAGGATGGTTGGTGTAGCAGTAGAAAAACTTTTTGCTGAATATTTGTTTCTGAATACGTTTCCATTTAGAACCATATAAATACACAACCTATTCAAAAATAAAAATATAACTTGAAAACTTAAGTAAAACATGTCTGTAACACTGCTTGCTCTTTCAGGGTGTCTATGATTTTTTCTTAGGATGTTAAGATACTGCTTTTCCTTTTTCCTTGAGGGAAGAATACAGCCTCATGTGCCATGACCATCGTCTTTTTTTTTTTAACATTTTTATTGATTCATAATCATTTTACAGTGTTGTGTCAAATTCCAGTGTTCAGCACAATTTTTCAGTCATTCATGGAACCATCGTCTTATTTGACAAACAGGTTTCAAGTACTGTACTTACAGTTCCGCCCATGTGGGGAGGCAGGTATTCGACACTGACATAGTCCTGGATGTCACTTTTGCTTGTAAACTTCAACAGACTCACTGCTTCTGGACCAAGCCAGGATTTCACAATTTTGAAAGCAGCTGAAGAAAAAACAGTCATTTCATTAAATTCCTTTCATTCTCCTTCTCGGTTTACTTACTCTGTATGCTAGTCCAGGTCCTCTGAAATTAGTTTGGGTTAAAGTCGGTTAATATGTATTTTACCATGGCACTATACTTAAGTGACATTCTCTAATCCCTGTAGGCATTTACCTTGTGACTGTCACTTATGGGTTTCGAATGTTCAATGATGATTCAGGAATATTAAGTTACCCTGATGTTCATTAATAAACTTATCAGAGTTTTGGCCTCTGTACAAATCCATCAGTGATACCAACTACCAAGATTTCTAGACAGTGAATCAAACAGTACTGTGATTCACTGACTGCACTACGGTACGGCAAGGGACATTTGCCTTATGCTTCTGATAAACCCCCCAGTCTGAAAATCCTCAAACTGGAAGCCAGAAAAAGAAAGTAGGAGCCCTCTTCATCATGTGTGAGCCAGACCCAGACTTTCCTCCTAACCCTAAACTTCTGTGCCTTTCTCTCAAACCCTGCAGCTTAGAACTGTGAGGAACTTATGGAATGTGCAAGAATAATCTAACATAGCACTTTAGTAATTACAATCTTGTTCTGTCATGCCATTATGATTTCTACTTAATTTTTTAAACCTCATTTCCATCATGATATTCTAAGCACATTTTAAGGAAATTAAAAGAAATCCCTGCATTAAATTTGCAAAAGTGTCAATGAAAAAAAATCAGGAAATAAAACAGCATGATAAACGTTAAACAGTAGTTCAGAAAATTGCATTTCTACTTTGGCTAATTTGGCTTAACATTTTTTTACATAACATTTACATTTTCATTAATTTCAATTTAGAAAGTCTGAGTTGATGTGTTTGAAGCTATGCTACTGGAATTAACTGAAGTGCTAAATGTGATTTTTTGTAACAGCTTTATTGAGATAAAATTTACATACCATAAAATTCACCCTTTTAAAGTGTATACACCAATGTTTTTTATTTAGTATATTCACAGAATTGTGTAACCCATCACCACTATCTAACTTTAGAACATTTTCATCACACCAAAAAGAAATCTGCTCCCATTGGCAATCCCTCCTTATCCTCCCTTCTCCCATTCCCTGGCAACCACTAATCTAGTTTCTGTCTTTGTGGATATGCCCATTTTAGCCATTTTATATAAATGGAATCATTATATTACATGTTCTTTTTTCCTACTGGCTTTGTTCACTAAGCATGTTTTTAAGGCTCATCTATAACATAACATGTATCAGTATTTAATTCCTTTTTATGGCTGAATAAGTTTCCATTTTATGGATATACAACATTTGCTTATCCTTTCATCAATTTATGAACTTTAGACTGTTTCCACTTTTCACTATTATGAGTAATGCTGCTATGAACATTTGAGTACAAGTCTTTGTGTAGACATATGCTCTCAGTTATCCTGGGGATATACCTAGGAATGGAATTGCTGGGTCATACGGTAATTATGGTAACTCCATGTTTAATTTTTTGAGGAAGTGCCAAACTTTTTCCACCATGGCTACACCGTTATATATTCTAACCAGCAATGTATGAGAGTTCCAATTGCTCTACACTTTTGTCAACACTTGTGACTTTAGTCTGTCTTTTTGATTACAGCTATCTCAGTAGGTGTGACATAGTATTCCATTTGGTTTAGACTTGTATTTCTCTAATGACTAATGATGTTCAGCATATTTTTATGTGTTTATTACCCATTTGCATATCTTCTTTGGAAAAATGTCTATCAGACTCTTTTGCCCTTTTTAACTGGGCCATTTGTCATTTTATTGTTGCACTGTAAAACTTATTTATATATTCCAGATCCTTATCAGATATCTGACTTGTAAATATTTTCCTCCACTCTGAGTTATCTTTTCACCCTCTTGATGGTGTTTTAAATTTTAATGAAGTACAATATATCTATATTTTCTTTTGTTGCTTGTGCTTTTTTGGTGTTATATCTAAGAAACCACTGCCTACTCCAAGGTCATGAAGGTTTACTCCTATGGTTTTTCCTAAGAGTTTTATAGTTTTAAGTCACCCATTCTGAGTTACTTTTTGTATATGATAGGAGGTAGAGGTCCAACTTCATTCTTTTGAATGTAGGTAGTCAGTTGTCCCAGTACCATTTATTAAAAGACTAGTCTTTCTCCACTTAAATGTTTTGGCACCATTGTCAAAAAATCCATTAATCATAAATGTTAGGGTTTATTTCTGGACCCTCGATTCTATTTCATTGATTTATACATCTATTTTTATGTCCATACCACGCTGTCTTATTTACTATAGATTTATAGTGAGTTTTAAAATCAAGAAGTGTGAATCCTTCAATTTCACTGTTCTTATTCAGATCATTTTTACTACTCTGGGTCTCTTGCATTTCCATATGAATTTAAGGACAAGTGTGTCAATTTCTGTTAAAAAAAATAAGGCAGTTGGGATTTTGACAAGGGCTGCATTGAATCTATAGATGAATTCATGAAGCATTGTCATCTTAACAACGTTAGGTCTTCTAATCCATGGACAAGAGATCTGTTTACCTAGGTCCTGAATTTCCTTCAGTGGTATTTGTAGTGAAAAGTGTATGAATCTTGAACTTCTTTTATTAACTTTATTTCCAAGTATTTTGTTCTTTATGATGCTATTATAAATGGAGCTGTTTTTGCTAGCATATAGAAATACAATTGGTTTTGTGAATTGACTTTGTATCTCGCCACCTTGCTGAACTTGTTTATTAGTTCTAATAGGCTTTTGTGTATGTAGATGTGTATTCCTTAAAATTTTAAATAGAGAAGACTGTCACCTGCAAATATTGATAGCATGACTTCTTTTTCAATCTGGATGCCTTTTATTTCTTTTTCTTGCCTAAGTGGCCTGGCAATATAAGCATTAAGAGCCGACAACCGTATCTTGCTCCTGATCTTAGAGGCAGTCATTCTTTCATTGCTAAGTATGATACGGGTTTTCAAAGATGTTGGTTTTACACAGATGACCTTTATTGGGCTGAGGAAATTTTCATCTGCGAAGAATTCACTTTACCAAAGAAAGGCTGGCCTTTGCCCTCAGGTTCCAGAGGTAATCTTCATGCCTGTTGAAGTGTCTTAGTTTGCCTATGGGCCTTGAGTCACACTGGAACAATATGATTAGGGTGGAGGCTTTGGGCCACACAGTATCTTTAGACCTCTGGAGGGACTACAGACTGAGATCAACCATATGATAAACCACTCAGGCCTATGTAATGGAGCCCCAATGAAAAGTCTGAACACTGAGGTTTGGGTGAGGTTCCCTTGTTGGCAGTACTCCATGTGTATTGTCACATATTCATGGTAGGAAAGTTAACACATTCCACATTTGGTACTTCCCTGGATTCTGCCACATGTTTTTCTTCCCTTGGCTGATTTTAATCTGAATCCTTTCCCTGTAATAACCCATAACTGTGAGTATAACAGCTTCCAGTGAGTTCTGTTGAGTGATTCTAGTAAACCTAAGGATGGTTTTGGAAACCCCTTGAACTTACAGTTGGTGTCAGAAGTGAGGGTAGTCTTGTGCAAACTACTGTTGTTCCCCTAACATTGCTGCTGTTTCAACTCTCTGCACCTTCTCTTCCTAGTTTCTTGGGTGCTTTTATTATGAGAGTGTAGTGGATTTTGTCAAAAGCTTTTAGTGCCTAATAAGATGTCTTTTTTTTCCTTTAGTCTATTAATATGTTGGATAACTGGTTGATTTTCATGTTGAACCACTTTGCGTTCTTGAGAGAAATCCCGTACAATATAAACATTTTTTAAAACAACCATAGCAATATGGCTAAATTGGCAAAGAAAAACAGGAATCAGATGTTTTGTGTTAGGAAAGTATAAGTAATGTACTCACCATTCATTATCCAAGGCATATCAAAGATCACCATTTTTGCTGAAAGATAAAAAACAATTCATTGACTGTGACTTAGTACCACGATAGTAGTATCACTTATACCTGGCCTAGAAAAAACTGGTGATCTAAATTTAACTAAAAACTGAGCTGGAGGACTCAGTTTTAATTCCATGAAGTATAAGTGGTGCTAGAACTAACTTCTCACAATGGTGGGGGGCCTACGTAGGGGGGACAGCTTGTGTGAGATGAATAATGTACTATTACTGCCTGCTGGCAGATGGCCTGTTCTTTTATTCATTTATTGCTCTTGTTGTTTGCAGAAAGGTACAAGAGAAAATAGTTACGTGGGTAAATGGAAACTTCAGATGTTGCATGTTGTAATAGTGCTAAAGTCCACTGAGTTTTAAAATTATTTCAGTGTCTAATTTATGCTTTCAGTTATAATTTCCTAGAGATTATACTGTTAAACCCGCTCTGGCAGTTGTCCCCCCATTTTAAATAAATCATTATGTTTTAAGAAACAAAAATTATTTCAGCTTTTCTTAATATTATGAGCCCCAGAAAGCCAATAATTTCAAAATATACAGAAGTATCATTTTCATGCTTAGATGAAGATATTAAGCAGCCGTATTAACAACTGTGAGAAAAAATCAGAAACCACAAAGGGGATTTTTATATCAAATTCATTCTTCTATTGCAGAAGAATCCAGAGAGTTCCAGTGAAGATGGTGGAGTGGTAGGAC